ATAAATTGAATGCAAGCTTGGCTCAAACATTCACAGAAATAAACTCATTTATAAGGCTATACAGGGAAGAATAAACAGTTTCTAATTTAAAAAGAAGCCATGGATGAGCATATTTTTTTTTTTTTTTTTCTTTAAAAAAAAGGTTCCTGTTGATATTGTATGAATTTCTTTTTTCAAATAAAATTGTTAATGTTGATCAAACGCTTCACGTTGTATGGTTTTATGACATTATGTGCAGGTTACTCTACAGTGTTTTAGTGTCTTAAAAAACATCAAGAAATTTATTTCGGAGTGCCACTTTTTAAAAGTTTGATTTCCCCCAATAATGAACGTTTAGAACTGTAAATGTAATAATACGTCGTCGCTGACCTTTGCCGTAAGTTTACAGGGTTTTCTGTTTCCTTGACCTTGGGTTTAAATGTGCGGCCTGCCTATTAAACTCATCCAACCATTTAGGGTAAATTAAAGATGAGACAGAGCTTTGCTCTATTCTGTATGGTGCTTATGTTTTAACAATTTTTTTGTTTTGTTCTCAGAGAATTTCAATTTAAAAAAAAATATATATTCTGTGCTGACATTTAGAAGATCTGATAGATTTACGTTTGTATTGTCCATTGCTGGGAGTGGACGGGGGGAACAAGAACAGGAAGCATTGAAATTATTGAAATGTTTGAACTTTTTGTAATATCATGTGTCTAAAATCATTCTACATTGAGACAAATTCTTCTTAGATATTTATACTGGATGTCAGTGATTGTCAGGATGCCCTTGTTAAAAATTGAATTCTGACTGCATTTAATGTATGTCTTCATACATTTAACGTATGTCTTCATACATTTAACGTATGTCTTCATACATTTAACGCATGTCTTCATACATTTAACGTATGTCTTCATATAATTATGTTTAGCAAAAATAATCTTAATTATTCAATTTTTTAAATAAAATTCCTATCAATGGAATAATTTAATTTTTATCAAATTTGAACAGTAAGCAAAAAATTGTTGGGATTCAAAAGAAATTTCACTTAGTGTATTAACTTCAACTGAGTTTTAGAGGTGCTGATCTGACACATGCTAGCAATCAGCCCAGGATAATCGGTTCAAATATAATCAAAATGGATTGTCTGATGTTGTCATAAGAATAAGATGGGGCTTTTTGTTAAAGCTACCGACTTGATGATTCCTCGTTCTGTTTCTTAACTATCAAATGAGCTGGAAGTCTATTTATTTTCTAACTGCATGTCATGCTCTAGAGAATTCCAGTGGGATAACATTTGTCTTTTTAAATATCTCCTAATGCTCAACATGTAAAACTTGCCGTTTCTGTCTGTGCACTCAATTCAATTCTTAATGTTCAATTTATTTATTACACGAGTTGGTCCTTGGTGAGGACCAACTCCACCTGTTTAGCTGTGCTGCCATTTTAGTTTGGGGGGGGGGGAGGGGTAATTTTTATTTTGTGATTAGCAATGTTGGAAAGAAAGAAAGATCATGGTAAAATTTCTAAAACTAGCAGAATCCATCATTATAGATAGTTTCATTACAGCAATGTCACAGGATATAGAGATAAATAGTATCATGATATCACAGGATACTCAAGTTTTATTGTGTTTTTTTTTGGTTTGTAAATTATTATAAATTATATTCATTAGAGGATAATAAGTGCATTATAAATGATGTGTTAGCTGAGATATTATCTTTACATATGGCTTATCTGTATATACCTTATTAGTAAAATGCCTCACAAAAATTTCATACTTCTATCTGTAAAATACTGGAAAACTTCATAATTATTTTTCTCCTTTTTTTTTGAAAATTTTTTATTATACATTTTTTGAAATTAAAAATGAAAAATTGTTCTTACCCTGTTTTATTATTAAAAACAAGTTTTGATTAAACTGAATTTTAATTTATTATTTTTTTGCTTGATTCTTGAAGTTTTTTTTTTATAATGTACTTGCATTCAATTCTTGTAAGGATTTTATATAAAAAAAATTATAAAAAGCACCAAATGACAAAAGTTTTACCACATCCAATCTCATGAATCCACTCATCTAGTCCTCCAAGTTGCTGTGAAACTGTAACATAAGAACCTTTTTTATTGTGCTTGTCTTGGCCACGGAGCGCGCACCTCCAGTGTTTCGTTCCAGTAAAATGAATATTTTGGACGCGGGGTGTGGTCTTCCCTTTACGGCCAAGCCTTCTGAACCCATGGTAATAATTTTTAGTTTTGAGAAGCTTTGAAAATAGTTGTTTTTTGTTTTTTTCTGTGCCTGTCAACTGAGCCTCTAAAGTCTCAAGTTGTGTAAACTGACCCACCAATCATGGGGGAAGGGGGGGGAGGGTGTCTACAAGGATGATGATAATAAAGTCAATGTAGATTGCAAAGATGATTCTGTCAAAATTTTTATCATCCTCTTTGGATTCTCTGTTGAACTTGAAACCAAAGATGAAAATAAGTTTGTTTTTGCTTTAATTTTTTTTGTTCTTTTTGTGTAAGGAATGAAGAGAACAGCTGCAGTTTTTTTGTTTTTTTTATGACAGCCACTTCTTAGATGTTGCTATCCTCATTTCAATATTCAGAAGGACAAAATAAACTAACAAAAATTGTGTATGTTTCTGCCCACTCCAGTATTATGGTGTTATGAAGCTGTGGTGACGGTTTCATTGCCCGAATGTCTCTTTAAGAATAACATTAGGAAATATTCTCCTTGGGCATTCTCTTAATGTTTCTTGTGTATATATGTGTACAAATACACAGTCTGGATTGTTATAGAGGGTCTAAACAGATGTACTTTGGACTTAATTTTCTTTCTAGTTAAAAGCAGTTATTGAATTACTAGAAGCAACCCGCTGAAACAGTTGTGGCCGTAATGGGTGAACTTCCTCTCTGTTAAAGTTACTTGACAAAACATGGATTCAAGTAACGCACTTTATGAGAATCCCAATGGGTGCTAACTTTCTGGGAATTTCATTTTGCTGGCTTATTGAACATTACAGCCATACGTACCTAAGAGAAGTCAGTTTTGATATTTTGAGCTGTCAATGATCTTAAAGAAGAAAATAAAAGCCTGTCTCCTCCTTAGTGTTAGACAGAGATCAATTGTATCCTCTGGATTCTCTTATTGATCAGGTTCACATGCCTCTGTCCATGGGCATTACATCTTTAACCACTCACTCAAGTCAATATAAATTATTTTTCAATAATTTTTTTTTTTAAATCCGCTGCCGAACTTTTTCTGTGTGCAATAGCAAAACAAAAGAAATGTTTGTAACTTTTAGGCTTGTAGGGTCAGAAAGAAAGAGTTATATGTTCTTTTTACGTTTTGTCCTGAAAATGGTGAGCTCCCTTACTACTAGATTCGTTTCTGATCTGTCTGGTTTTTTTTTTTGGTTTTTTTCCAAATAATTTTTCATTATGTTATTGCTTATACAATGATTATTACAAAATTAATTAATTATATATATTAGATCAAGGATTAGCTTTGAAACACTGGAAGTTGATGTTTTATAGTCATATGTTGGAACAAATGTGTTCTAAAAACCATTGCAATTATTGCTTGCTATCATTAACAACATGTACATATTATTTGTGGTGTTAATTTTTATTATTAATTATTATTATTAATATTCATTGATTGCTTTTTTTGGGGCTGTTCATTTGAATTCATCACTCAGTTGGCGTGTGTTTGTTTTTTCTTTCTGTTCTTCCGCTGTCATTAAATTATTTCACAACACCCTAATGATAACTTTTCATCATACTTACCAGTTGTCCTTGTCCCATGGTAGTCTAATTAATTAATACTTGTGTGTTTTACATTGTACAGTGTTTGGGAGACAGTGGACTGAAATCTTTTTACAAGGGAAAACAAGGATTTATAAAATTTTCATTATTTTTTTCCCCCCCCCCCCCCCCCTTTCCTTTTATGAAAGATGTTTGATAAAGATGAGAAATTATTATGCAATTATTATTGTTTACCTGATGACTCTTATTCTTAAGGAAACAAATTTTTTTTTGGGATCATAAAAGCCCCTTTACAACTTGAAAGAAAAAAGAAAACATGCACTTCCGGTACTTAAATTTCTTGTTTCCTAGTTGCCAAATGCCTCAATTGTATTTTCTCATGTTTATGCCTGCAGTCATGTTGCTTCCTCCCCCCCCCCACACACACACAAGTTAAAAACATTTCAACTGCTCTGTTGTTTATGTCAAGTTGAATGCGATGTGTGCTTTGGGTTTGTGGTGCCAAGTATTTGTTTTCATGGTTCTGTTTCTGTACATTAACTACACTTCGTCATGAGTTAGAATCAATGTGGCATGATAAGGTCAATAAAATATGGTAGTGTAAGATACCATGGAATATGTGGCTTTATGGTGCAAGGTACCATAGAATATGTGGCTTTTAAGGTGTATTCATAGGTTCACTGATAATAAATACTGTTTTTTATGACTTTTGTTGAGTCTTTTTTCCTTTCATTATTTTATCATGCAGAATTTTAAGAAAACAATCTAGAAAGATGAGGAGTTCAAAGTTAGAAACGAAAGAAAAACAATTTTAATTAAAATGATCTTTAAACATACATAATTTTTAATCCAAGCGGACACATTATATTTAATAACTTGTAGACAATGACTAGAAAAAACATTTAAAATTGTTGACATTTTTTATGATCAATTTTCCTCTCATTAAAAGTTAATTTCTTTGGCTATACTTAAAAATGTTATAACTGTAGTGTGATGATGATGGTTAGAATGACCAGCTTCATAAGTAAACATATTGGCTATCAGAACTAGCAAAGGAATTTTTTTTTTTTACCTAATGTTATAATTATATGGCACCATTTGACAGTGATCTACACCTACAGATATACATGCATACATATGATCTTGACATTTACACATTTAAGAATCTGCCAAAAATTTACATTTGCGAAGTAGTAGTCTAAAAGCACTACTTCTTTTTTCTTTTAAATTCAATTTCTCTGGTTGGTGGGGGGGGGGGGGGGGGGTTGAGGTGTCTTACTAAAAAGTTTCAATCCAGTATGAGACAACTAGACAATTTTTTTTAACCTAGAAAATATCTCAAGAAAACAAGCTTTATAACAATATGCACAGATAGCATTCTATTGTGCATGTCAATCATACCCAGAAATTATGTCATCCGTCATGACAGAGTTGTAGTGTCATGACATCTTTCTCAGACAGAGAGCACCACCACCTCATACATCTGATTTTATTTTTGCTGCAAACAGTTTTATTTACATCTAATTTTTATGTTTCCTTTTTTTTGATTATATCCAACAATAATTCATCATCCATGGAAAGGTTTAAAAAAAAAAGTCTCTCAGAAATAGTCTTGAATCTTTATAGTTTGTCTAAAGACATATGACCCCCATCAGATTTCAAGACCTATGACCCTCCATCAGATTTCAAGACCTATGACCCTCCATCAGATTTCAAGACCTATGACCCCCCATCAGATTTCAAGACCTATGACCCTTCATCAGATTTCAAGACCTATGACCCTCCATCAGATTTCAAGACCTATGACCCTTCATCAGATTTCAAGACCTATGACCCTCCATCAGATTTCCTTCTGTACTTTCAGAACAAAAGTGGAAGGATATTTACAATGACTTTTTTATATTGACTTCCTATACTTTAGTGATGAAGGTCAAGGCTTACTCCAAATGAGAAACGATCTTATGGTCATACCTCAAACATATTTAGGGCTAGGAAATGTGAGTCCTGTTAGAAATTTACTTTTAGGATTTATGTATGAGTAAATATATGACTAATCACATCAAGCTTAATACTTTCTTACTTTTTAGTAAACTTTTAAAGCAGCTATTACTTTTGCAAAATAAAGTATTGATATTTTTACAAGAAAAATTAATCAATGGGTATGTCTGTCATACATATTATATAATATATTCAAAGTTTAGAGCTAGTAAAATATAAGCAAATTAGGAAATCAAATTTATAAGAACACGGCTGTTGAAATAAATTTTAGGTCTAAATTTGTAGACAAACTCAAAAAATTCAAAGCATAGTTTCACATTCTTTTTACTAGCAGCTCTTCTCGTTGGCATTAAATTTTAGGGTTTTGTTAGTTATTAGGGTTATAGATTAAATAATCAATTCTGATTGCCTCCCCCCAGTAAACAAAAACATTTTATTTAATTATTTATATATGTACACGCTACCACGCAGCTCATACAAATCACAGCTGCATCATACTCCATCACACTCTTATCAATCGTCCATGATCCATTAAAGCAAACTGAAATGAAGACTACCAAACAATGTCGGCTGCGTTGCGTGAGCATCCCGTCTACTAAAGTTACTTGACAAAACGTGCCTTCCAGTAATGCACTTTAAAAGAATCAAAATGAGTGCTTACCCCACCCTCCGGGATAACAACCGCTCACCTTTTTCATGCCCCTTAACTATATGATGATAATTAATGTTCTAATTCCAACCACCAATTTATACGGCCGCAGATTTATAACACTATATTAATAACACCATACTATTTTCATAAAACAAAATAAAATAGGCACTTGCCGTATTTTAAGAATTTCACTGTTATCAGGGGATTTGTTGAGTGAAATCAGCGCCATCTATTAGCGTAAGTGACATTACTCCATAGAGAATTGTGTTTTTTGATAAAAAAGGGTGTCGCATTATATTATTTTACAACCAATTGTTCTCTCTTTACTTCTCATTCCATAAAATGTACGAGTCAAAATTCACATCTCCACACAGTGAGAATTGTAGACCACTCCTGACAAAAACAGATGTGGCACTTATGTAACAGCACGGACAGCTTGATCATCATAAATGTGTAGGCATCACTCAAAATCAGGTCACACTTACACATAATTACATCATTTATGTGACTAATGTAAACAATAGTATGTAAACTTTTATTCTCCGACTTCCAATCATTTCACACATACACTACAACATTTTCACCACATCAAACTGATCCGACTTCCAATCATTTCACACATAAACTACAACATTTTCACCACATCAAACTGATCCGACTTCCAATCATTTCACACATACACTTCAACATTTTCACCAATCAAACTGATTCACAGCCACAAACATACCAGTCAAATTCTCACCCAATTCTATTACGTGTCAACTATTGTGAAAGCTCATTGGTCAAGGGGAGGCTACTGTCAGATAATCTCAAATTCTTCATCATCCACTCCACTTCCTGTTGATCCATCATAAAGCATAAAATCTGGAGAGAGATAAAAATGTCAAAACTGATGGACTTTTTAAAAAAAAACATGTTAATTGTTTTCTCATCATTAATAGTCTCCACCATCAACATGCACCATAATTGGGAGGTGTGTGTGTCTATCTTATCATGAAAGTTCCATTTCTTAATACTGTAGTTATAGTCTACACCATCAATTTTCAGAAGAGTCAATAATAGATCACAATTTAACACACTTGACCTCCATCCCTCCCACTGACAAACTTAATTACTTTACAAGTATTTATAAATAAATTGAACTCCAATTTTAATTTTACAATCCAAAATATGAATTAACTCCAAATATTTTCCAGCAGGTAACAGTTTCTCTGGATAAAACAACACCTCCACTTTTGAATCTGTGTTGAAATCTAAAGCAATTATGTCATGAATGATTTAATAGGTCATATTATGTAAGTACAGATGATTTCATTGATGCAGAAAAGCAACTCCAGTAGTGTCAGAGTATTTATGGACTGGACACGCACCTGAGAGGGAAAATCCCCTGGACTCCTTGGTCTGTTTTATGGGAACCGTCTCTTCACTGGGCCAGGCTTTCGGGGCATCTTTGCGTATTTCAAACATAGGTCGACACGACTTGTCCTGAACCGTGAAAGCTAAACACCACTCATCAAAGTCTCTCTCCGTTCCACAGTAGAAGCCCTGCGGGACAGTTAGTTGGGAGTCAGTTATCAAAATTCGTAGTGAAGACTTGACCAAATTTTTCAGTTAATGAAAGTTCAGCCAACTGCTGTGTGAGACCACGGGCTCCTTTGTGTCAAGGGCCATAATGATTTCTGGCAAGGGCCATAATGATTTTTATTTTAATTCGGTTCAGGGTAAAAAAATCGACCATTTAAATTTTGAGTTTTATTCCCCCTCTCCCCAACCCTGTTTCCAAAGCAGATATTTTGTTTATTACAAGAGCAATGGCTGTCCCCACTATGTTCAATGGGCAGAAGAAGAATGAGAGAAATGATTGAACAATCGCCCCAGGTTTTTCACCTCAATAAGAACGAGAGTTAAGAGCCAATTTCAATATTTTACAGGGGTAACGAGTTGATGTTATAGAAAGGACGGTCCATAAGCTGGACAGTTTGATTTTTTTTCTAAAGATGGTTCGAAGCAAATTTTGAGCTCCAGAGCAAGTATTTTAATTCCTTTAAAACAGAATATGTAGACATCTCTTTGGAAGACAGATCATATCTCACCAACGCAATGGAGGGATCGAGTTTGGAGAAGCTCATTCGAGATGCTGGCGTCGTACAATGGTAGGTTGCATCACTGGCGTGCCTGTCTTCAAGGTCTACCACATTCTGTGTCGTGTGAGGGTCTAAGTAGATTAACTCTTTATCTGAAAGGACATTTGAAGAATTATATTATATTAATTATTTTATATATATATATATTATGTGTGTATGTATATATATATATATATATATATATATATATATATATATATATATATATATATATATATATATATATATATGTGTGTGTGTATATATATATTTTTTATATATATATGTATGTGTGTATATATATATATATATATAAATTATATATATATATATATATATATATATATATATATATATATATATATATATATGTGTATATATATAAATGTGTGTGTGTATATATATATGTATTTTATATATATGTATGTGTGTGTATATAAATATATATATAAGAACTTTAGATATATGCATTGTTAACTCTGACTGCCCGTTAATTAGAATTTAATAGATTATTTATATTTGTCTACCAAATATTCTTCATGTTCATCACTTGATTTTAAAATATTTTCATCAATAGACTTCATAGAGACCTTCTGAACTAAGAAACGTTTTTAGACCAGTAAACGTCAATGAACATTCAACAAGCTTTAAGATAAGAATGTTCCCAAATTAAAACATATCTTAATTTTTTTAAATAAGTCAATGCAGCGCCCAAGATATTCCAAGAATAATTAGATATCAGAACAATCCATTCAAGTTATACTAAATAAGAACAAACCATTAAAGTTATCTTAAGTTCTTAGTTTACAAAAAAATTATCCAGCTAAAATGTAAGCAGTCAGTCTGAAATATGTTTGATTGAATTTCCCATTGGTTTTTTTTTTAACAGCTTAAACTTACCAACAAAACCAATGAACCAGTGCGCATGATTGGGCTTGCCACCAATGATCCCGACAGACTGCTTTAACTTGAAACATTTCTGGAAGGACGAAAAAACAAAGGGGGCAAAACGCTATTTAACTTTTTAATTTATGCTGAATGGCAGACAAATACAAAACACAACTTAAAATTGTGCAACTTTTTTGTTCTGATACGGTGGGGGGGGGGGGGGGGTTGTTGTTTGAGTTGGTGGAATCTTAAAGACAAGAATTGTTCTTAAATAGTTTTTTCCTTTTCATTATCAGAAAGTTTGCAAGCACATATGGAGGTTGCAAACTATCAATTGTTTAAGACGGTGCACTCCAAGCCAAGATTGTTGTAAGATTTTAGCTTGTTATTTTACACAGCTACTGAGTTATTTCGGCCACGATTGTTGTAAGATTTTAGCTTGTTATTTTACACAGCTACTGAGTTAAGTCTCATGGGATCTCTACAAAATAATTTCCCTAGAAAAATAAGCAAATCTCTTGCTTATAATTTAAATAAAAGAAATATGTTTAAAATTTTCAATAATTAAACAACATGTCAACTTAAGTTCACCTTCAAAGATTCAAAATAAATCGGATTGATATCGGTCAGACCAAGACGCAACGGAATGATCAACAACAGGGGCTTCCACTGCGTACAAGAAGGTTTGCTCTCTTGGGGCCCATCGTTGACGAATTTGGAGAGTTCCTCCTCGGGGATGTCCTCAATATTTTCATTGGCAAGTCCTGATTTGGACTGCTCCTTCTGTGAGGGTTTGCATAAATTCACTGAAAAAGTAAATGAGTATGGATGAAGCTGAGACTAAATAAGTATGGTGAAAAAAAATTTTTATTTTTTTTCAAATTGCTTTTAGTTAAAAAATCTATTAAAAATGCTTTTTCTTTTCGTTCTTTATCTGACTGAAGTGACGTCATTTATAATGGATATCAGCTTTAGTCTTGTGGCGTGTCCATGCACCCTGACGACCCAGTACATGAAATGAAACATGATGCGTTTTTTTGGTTGGATTTTGATAAGATCTACATTCCAGGACTATCCCATCTAAGCTTTTGTGTGAGACAACATCTTTCAAAGCCTGCAGACTAGAACTGCACAGATGAGCAAATTGTCACATTACTGATTTTTTTATTAATAGGCCCCAAATCATCGTCAAATTCCGATTAATCCTAAGGCTGTAAAAGTGGCCTAATTTCCAAATCCATTTTATGAAAAGTATGATTGATTAAAATGTATGATAATATAACTAAATTGATCACACATATAGAGCTTCCATTTTGTTTTAGGCTGTGTTTCCTATCGTCAGGTGTGCACCCAACTTTTAAGTTTATGGGAGACACTGAGACATTGAGACTCTGAGAGACAGATGGGTAGATATGGATCAAGCAGAGCTGGACAGGACCTCTTTATACTTTAGCTCCTCTGCTACGGGGGACATCTAACGTATACGGTTGAGAGACACTCGCTTACGGGTTGGCCTAGGGTTCAACCATCAACATTGTAACTCTCAGTTGCAGGGAGGTAGGCCCACTGATAAACCAATAACTATAGAAGCCAGCACTTCATAGTGTACCCACACGTTGAACCTAACACCCAGGGCTATTTCCAAAGAGGTGTGCGAGTGGGTTAGGGGGCAAAGGGGTAACCTGCACCTTGGGCCATCTTCAGAGGGTGCCTGATTGTTACGCACTGACTTGTATTGGGAGAAATTAATCTCCTATTTTAATTTTAATTGGCTCGTTGTAAACAGTGCCTAACAAAGGACGATACCATATAATCAACAATATTAAGGATACGACCCAAAACAGTTTCTAGTCACAATTAATTACGATTTATTATGTCTTAAGATAATTACAAAATAAAATAAAATAAAATTACAATCTTCAACTTACAGTATGGCAGATGTCGTACCGGTACACAGTTAATACAATTAGAAATAATGATGCCAATAAATAATGCGAAATAAACACATATAAGTAGGAGCACACAAATACACAAAAGAATAAAACACGCCTCGTAATGTTAAGAGAATCTATATGAAATCTCCGTCTGTCGTCCGTGCCTGTCAATCCCTTATATAGGTGGGTCTACCGACGCCCAAGCCCTGCCTTCGAGACATTTCGAGAAAAATCCCAATCATTCTACCAAATACTATTTGGAACAGATTAATTATTTTCAGTGGCTGGCGGTGTAAACAAGAAATACATCAAAGACCTAAGCCACACCCCTTTGTGAACACAGCGTCTCATGCGGGGTCAATCAGAGGGCACGTACGAGAAATATTGTGTAAACAAGCTCTCTGTAACACTGATAGTCATTTATTCATACATAAATGTGTATCTATATATGGTTTTTTTGGAAGAGGTCAGAGGTCCCCTAAATTATTCTAAATTCAGGCTTCTATCATCAAAGGAACTATTACCAGTAGACTCTCCTCTGCAAAAGTAGTTTAAATGAACCAGTGGCGTAGTTTTGTATTAAGCCATTAAAGAACATGTCAACTACTTCAAAGCCTGACGTCATTCAAGTGTTAATGCAAGATTAGACATGCAAAGTGTCACACACAGACCGTTGGTACGTGTGTCAGTTGGCATTATAGTTATGTTTGAAATTATTATTAATTTATTGCAGAGTAAAATGTAATATCAAAAATGCCCCTTTTATTGAAAACAAATATTTTAATCTGTTGGCCGTCTGAAACAGGCGCCCTTCTAAATTAGTGCTAGGGTAATCTACTGCTGTCCTGGTCTCACGACAGTTATGTTACTGGCACACGACTTTCCAATTTCTTAGTTCAATCCTGAAACACCCACCAAAGCGTACATATTCTTTTAAAACTTTCTAGAATTAAATCTAACATCTTGGTCAGATTGCTGATTAATTGGTCAGATTACTGATTAATTGGTCAGATTGTCGATTAATTGGTCAGATTACTGATTAATTGGTCAGATTGCTGATTAATTGGTCAGATTGCTGATTAATTGGTAAGATTACTGATTAATTGGTCAGATTACTGATTAACTAGTCAGATTACTGATTAATTGGTCAGATTGTCGATTAATTGGTCAGATTACTGATTAATTGGTCAGATTGCTGATTAATTGGTCAGATTACTGATTAATTGGTCCGATTACTGATTAACTAGTCAGATTACTGATTAATTGGTCAGATTGCTGATTAATTGGTTAGATTCCTGATTATTTGGTCAGATTGCTGATTAATTGGTCAGATTACTGATTAATTGGTCAGATTACTAATTAATTGGTCAGATTACTGATTAATTGGTTAGATTACTGATTAAAATTGGCAGATTAGGCAGGTTACCGATTCTTTGCTGATGAAGTAGTGCAACCCTTCAACAAACTAAAAGATCCTGTGAAATTTGGCACTATCCCTCCCTAACTCATTACTGTCCAAACAGTGTGAAGACATTTGCTGTAACATAATAATATCTCATTCTAAAGTGTCTGAAAATATTCTTATAACATTAAATTGTTATACCAGAGTGTCTTTCAGATATATTTTTTATGTCAGCGACATTGTCTAGTGTCATGTCAGTTGATGTGCTTACATCTGTCATCTAATACAACAAAATTGTCTGTCACATGATGGATGTCCTTAACTGTTTTGATGTGGAACAACACACACTGCGTTCATCCGCCGTTCTCAAAAGCATGGACCAACGCGCTGTGCGATGTTTCAATATCCCGTTTGTTTCTTTGCTATTTCTCAGTTAAACTTTTTAAGAGCTATTTTTTTTTAAAAAAAAGACTTTTACATAGAAGAGTAGTGCTTAATTGTTTATAAGCGAAACCAAGGTTTATTTGTTGTCATTTGATTTTCTTCACTTTTTTTTCTACTGTTGCAATGGCTACTCAAGGCCCTAGTAGGCGAGTAAGTTTTGACGACTAACAGCTCAAGAAGCTTTGGAATTCTTTTATACCATTTCTTTTGATAGTGAAGATGATTTATATTTAGATCCATCACAAGATTTTGATAGTAGTAGTTTTAGAGGATTTTAGTTTTAGAAATGAAGATGAGGTATGCGTACATCATAGGGTTTGGGGAAAAAATGGTTTAGCATAAAATGTTTTCAATATTATGGTTCTTTTCTGTAAATTATCTTATTTAAACTGAAGAAATAAGCTTACAAACATATAGTCCTTTCATTTATAATTCATTTGATACCAAGTTTAGTCTTATAAACCAAAGAATAATATTTTTAATATTTTTTAATAAACCCAACCACTCACTCTTTTTCGCTCTTCGAAAAATATGTACATTTTTTCAATAAAAATATTCCGCAGCAAAAGAGTTAAAGCTATTATGACATTATCTATTATTGCCACATTAACGTTTGTACTCACATATGTCATCTATTATAACAACATTGTCTAATGCCACATGAATTGCAATGCCACTCCAGTCATCATAAACGGAAATTCGCCTGTTTAAAAAGTAAACAAAAAATTCAGAATATGTATGCACCTTAAGAAAGGTGAAGCTTGATGTAAATAATGTGCCGCTATGGATGATGTAAATAATGTGCCGCTATGGATGATGTAAATAATGTGCTGCTATGGATGATGTAAATAGTGTGCCAATATGGATGATGTAAATAAAACTAAATGTATGCAGATTAACAACAAGATGAACTGTAAAACAAGACTAACTTTAAGACTTGAGCGATTGTATTTGGTCCAAACCACTGGCCAATGGCTTTTCCCTCGGCTTCTCCCATGGAAGCTAAGAAATATATTTTGTTAACATAATTTATTTTATTGGAAATATTCAATATTTTTGAAGTATTTAATGACCGGAAAAGTTTTGACTGCTGTGATTAGAATTTTATGGTTATCATCTTTTTAAATAATTCAACTGACCAATCTGATGAATAGAGTAAGTGGCCATCTTCTTGTCTTCAAACATTTTCAATATCTTCCAGTATGTGTCATCTGTCACATGTGGCCGCCATCTCCATCCTTAAGAGAAAGAAAACAAGCTGTCACAACACTTCGTGCTGTTACAACCTTTTGTACTATCACAACACTTCATACTGTCACAACACTTCATACTGTCACAACACTTCATACTGTCACAACCCTTCGTTCTGTCACAACACTTTGTACTGTAACAACACTTCCTACTGTAACTCCTTTCATGTAAAAAATATTACAGTGACATGAGATTTGGAATCATGCATTTGCAACTGCAGGCTTGATTCTGAAACCCTCAAACCGATTTCCCTCTTTGTCTGCAAGCATACCAACTATGAATCCATTGAGCATGTGATAAACCTAGGAGCAGCTCAAGTTCAATAAAATGGGACAAATGTAACATCCTTCAGCGGGACAAATGTAACATCTTTCTGCTGCACAAATGTAATATTCTTCTGAGGGACAAATGTAGCATTTTTCAATGGCATTTCATTCAGAAAAAGATGCCAAAGACACAGTTTTGTAATAGTTTCAATAAGAGGAAACCTCATTTTGAAATATTCCAATCAACCCCTGCCTAGTAAACTATTCAGATTCATTTTTAAAATTATTACAAGCAACCTAGGGACCTGAAGATTAGCAGCACCCAACACTCAAGGCGTGTAAAGTTGCAACATTTTTGGTTTTTTTACAATTCGGAGTCTTATCAGGAATCCCCCAAAAATCCAGGACCAAAGTTGAGAATCTGTAGACAATTGCTAATTGGCCATTCCCATGTCATAGCTTTCTTTTTAAGGGGACACCAATGATTATGAACGCACCTCTCCCTAAGTGTCGTAGAACGAGGCCCTGAGCAAGCATCATCTGTCCACAACGAAGCATACAACCCCATCCCTGGTCAGAACTAGGCCCTGTTCCACCTGAAATGAATTTAAACAACAAAATGTACCTGCTCTTAACCAGTTATTTTATATATTAGTACAGTGGAACCTCTCATAACGAGCATAGTTTGTTCCAGAATCTTACTCGTTAAGTGAAACACTCGTTAAACGAAACCATTTTTCCCATACAAATCTGTGTAAAATACGATAATGCGTTCTATGCTGAAAAGATATTCATTTTTTTAAATTTTTTATTAATATTTATTCAAATAAAATTTCTTATGAATTGTTAAGGAGTGTAACAACTTGGAATACAATTTAGATTTGAAACAAAAAACGTAAATAAAAATATGAATTTATGACAAATAATTAATCCTTTTTAACTAGAAAACTGTCTTATGACTTGTTTTTGCCGACGCTTCAAAATTTGACGAAAATGTGTCACATCATTATCATTGAATAAATTTGTAGCATGAATAGCCACCTCCTAATTAGGCTGATGGTTCTCAATGTACGATGCAACAGTTTCAGCATTTCTCTTTTGCGCTAGAAGATTGTTGCTCTGCTGCATCCTCCTCCATTAATGAGCTCTCCTCCTTAATTTCTTGCTGTGAAACACGATGCAACTCTTTGGTGGTCAACTCTTGACTGTGCTCTTTCACAAGCTCTTCAATATCATTGTTGTCCACCTCGCGTCCCATGATATTGGCCAATGACACAATCTCGTTAACTGTAGACTCCACAGGTACTGTTTCCAAATCACATTCAACAACACTCTCTGGCCAGTTTTTTTCAAGCAGAAGTGAGGGAAAAAGGGACTTCCCCTTTCTGCGTAACTCGTTATGCGATATGTCGCTCGTTAAGGGAGCAACTTCTGCACAATTTTTTTGCTCGTTTTGCGAATTACTCATTATGAGAGGTGCTCATTATGAGAGGTGCTCATTATGAGAGGTGCTCATTATGAGAGGTGCTCATTATGAGAGGTGCTCATTATGAGAGTTTCCACTGTGTTTATTTTTTTTAGCAAAAAAAAAAGATATTTTTTTATAATAGTTTTGAAATACTTGATTATATACCAATGCAGTATGACACTATTTAAGACTTGTGATATCACAAAGAAAACCACAGCTCTATCTACCTATATTTTGAAAGTTCCTGCGGTATGTGATCCATATTCTGGATTTGATGTCATTTTTTAAGTCATCTCGATCTGAAAATGTGAAAACAATATTTAGCAGGTGATGTGTGACTCCCTGCTAAACTTTAACCTTACTCAATGGAAGGATATATTGTCCAGAGCCAGTAGTCATATGGGCATGTGCCTATTAAATAACATTCTGATATCTTATTTAACTTATGATGTTTAAAAAAACTTTATAAAAAAAGCATTTTATTATGTTATTGAACTCATGCCCTTTAAAATCATTATATTATTTTATTTTACTGATGCCCTTTAAAGGCATTCTAAGACACTTTACAGATGGCTCACTCTGCCTTATTATCTGTATCTGGCTCTATCGGAATAATATTTTAATCCTAAAGCAACAAAACTGATTTGGAGACATTGGTGCATCATTATGACATCAGATAAACTAAACACTGGTTACCATGCAGTGCACTGTGCACTTCCCCTAGAATGTAGACAGGTTCTGCGGTTAAAGGGAAATCTTCATACTCCAACGGTCCACTCTCGTAAGTGAAAGTGCTCAGGTTCACTGAAAATATGAATCCAAATACACATCAGATAGAATAAAATGAAAATGAAATAAGATAGTTTTAGCACGAATGCTTACTTTCAGTCTTTGAGGAACAAAATTTTAAAAATATTTTTGAGAAATTCAGATAGAAAGTGATGCACACTTCCCAGTAACAGAAGTTTACTTCACAGTAACAGAAGTTTACAGAGTAACAGAAGTTTACTTCACAGTAACAGGAGCTTAAGTATAAATACCAACTCTTTGTTACTTGTAATTTTTTTCTCAACTGTATAAATTATAGGCCTACTTTTAAAAACAAAACCTTGCGTATAATTTTTCTTTAAAGTTTATAAAAATGTTAACATGACATTTAATAAGCACAAAAAGTAACCTGTATTTCAAAGTTGTTAATCAACCAATCTTAAAGCACAGCAGCGTATATTTGCAGCTAAAAGATAAAAACTTCAACAGCAAGAAACAGCAATTTAAAAAAATTATAAGTTAGAACATCTAAAAATAGAGACTAATTTTAAAAAAAAAACACATACTCTAATTTTCTTTTCACTATTTTAGAGAGTTTAATTTCATGCCTGTGACTTTAAAAGTTCAACTAAATGGTTAAATTTTGTTACAAAAAAGTCCTCTTCTAGTTTTAATGTATAATATATGTGATACTAAAAATGATTTGAAACACTTAACATACTATACTACTGTATTGAACACATTCCCGCAGATGTCCAGATACACCAACAAAACCAACAGCAAAACTAAATGTATTTTGTATTGTTTAAGCATTTTGAATTTATTTTTTTTGATGACAAAGCTAAGCTGTCAGAAACATCACTATGGCTCAGTTTATCAGATATTACACCAAAGAAGCAGCAATTTATGTCGCACTAACTTTGTATTAAATATAACTTTATAATTTCAAATATAAATATATCTGTGTCAAAATATGAAATTCTCCTTGACATAAAGTTGTCTTTTAAAATAGTAACTTTTTAAACAACTTTAGTACCAAACAGGCAATGCGAAGATCAAGTACAATAAATGGCATTAATAAATAAATGCAATTTCCTTTTAAAGTATTTTTTTAACACCATTGTTAATAAGACATGTTGCTACAACTATTTGTGACCTAAGTCAGCTGGTCAATTTCAGAGGCTATCTGAAGTCACATCTACATAATTTTGAAATGAAATATCGAGGCTATACTAGTTAAAAAATATAGTTGAATACACCACATTTTAGTGGGGAAAAAAATTAAATATCTTTGAGGTCTAATGTTTTCCAATTAAAAGTTTGATTATAAAAGAAAATGGAAACATACATACCAACTTTTTGTAAGTATGATATCTACATTAAAAAAACTGAACAGTTAAATCTGTAAATATTTTCAGGCAAACAATTTATTTTAAAATATTCAACTTTGACCCCACAGCATTGCTTTAAATGCTTCTGATGCTGTCAAGTTAAAAAAAATAACATAAACTTTGAGGCTAGTCAACATGGTTCATGCCATGAATTCAAATTTTATTCAGCAAAAATTTTAATATTTCACTTACTCTTAGCAGTCTTAGCATTATATTTTGCTTGTGTGGTGATCATTACTACAGAAGTTCACAGATGTAACTGATGGTAGTGTAGATGAGAGCCAGAAAGAGAATCAGTATTAGTGCTAAATAGTTATTCATTTGCTCTTTAGTTCAGATAAAGATAATATGATAAAAAATCAACTTGCATTTGTAGTGTAGGTTTAATGTAGGTGTAAAGTAAAGAATAAATTGATACAGACAATATTCCTATTGACTATGAGGACTATTGTGTCTTCAACTTAAGCCACAAAACACTCACATCACCCTGACTACAGGGAGGGAGGGTGAGATGTTGAGGATAACTTTAATTAATTTATGAGCCTATGATCAATTAAATATATCAATTTAATATGTATGCACAACTCAAACAATAGGCAAACAACAGCATGAATGTATTTAATTTTAGTTAACTGTCTATGCCTGGAGCTGCGTAGTAAATAAGTGCTGTTTATATTTTATTGATAGGTTTTAACTTGGTAGGCCTTAACACTACGCTATATCATGCATGACACAGTTGTTTAAACTGAGTTAATCCCAAGCTATTAGAGTTCGTTCCCGGTGAGAGCAAAAAAATCACCAGCACCCCGGGTGGATGGGACTCATTAACCTTGGATGGCAACTCATCTTAAAGATGGAAAACTCTGAAATCAAACTCTGAGATGTAGTCCCCATAAGTGGTTTGTCATTCCCATATTGCGCTATGAAATTCTGACAACTCCTGCGACATAGAAAGCGTAAAGAGCATAATGAAACACACAAGACAAACTGTTGGTCATCTGCTGCATTCTGGTCTATTTCCAGTTGTCTTGACTATGTTTTGCCATCGGACCAAATGAGAGAGTGACAGTGATGAATTGAGCAACTCTCCCTCATCTTCAATTTATACAAAATACAGCTCAACTCAAGGCTACTACTCAAGTTGTATGTGCATGTGAAGGACAAACAATAATAAAATATTCAGGTATAGTATAAGAAATATGTCCATAATTGCCATAATTATTGGGATACTATCTATCTGATTGTAATGTATTTAGCGAATATGACTAGTTATTATTATTAATACTTAATATATGTTTTACATTTTGACCTGGTGGTGATGCTATATTCACTTTAATTAAAGCTAAGAAGTAAGGGAAGGGCCTCACAACATTGACCTGTTTACTATTACTAAATTAAGTCATTTTAATTCAAGACTTTTTTCTCTGATCTTCAAAAATAATTAGTCTAGCAATACTGCATTTGAAAATTTGTTACCTTGAATCTTGAATAAACTAGTAACGCAGAAGAATATGACTATTTACTATTTATTCTGCAGACTTGGCTTTGATTATGGTGAGAGTTGGGATGAAAAAAAAACAACTAAACTTATAATTATAAGTTACTTTAATTATATTCTTATATAATATAATAAATAAATAGGCCTACTTATTAAACTGAAGCTCAACATTAATATTAACTTAATTAATTGTTTACCCAGTGGTCAAAGAGTTTTTAACTTATTCTTTTCAATTATTAGACTAGGCCTACCAAGGAAAATTAAACTAAGACATAACATATACTAAATAGTAATTAGTAACGATAATAACAAACATTCACGTAGTGTCCAAAAACATAGTACTAGCATTTAAAGTAAAGCATTTCATTATTAGTATTAGTATAGTATAGTATTAGTATTAGTATTAGTATTAGCCATTAGCACTGGTCACTGGTAGAAACACAAAGTAAATTAATAGCTAGAAAGCTGAGTATTAAAAATTTGATGACTTCACAAATGATTAAATAATGTGATATGATGCCAGAAAAACATCCTTAAAACTGTTTGTAGTGTCGTATAATTTCATAGAAATTTCTTCAACTTATATACCTAATAAAGTCAGAAAGATATAAATAAAGAGCTTACCTTCGAATTCCATTTCCCGTATGAATCAAAACATTGAAATGAGCATGCGCAGAATGAAGTTCCGCATCCTAGTGTTGATTTATTTTTGCCAATGACTATTCGCACCCGGAGTGGCTCCGTACAGATTAATTGGCTTCGGAGCCCGATGTTAATAATAATAGTATGAGAATTTTTTTTAAAAAATTGTTTTTTCTCCTTGATATTTCATAGATTCATAGTTTTATTATTTTTAGTTTTTTTTTTTATTTTTGCTTTGTTAATTCCTCTTAGGATGGGTAGATTTTTTTCTTTCTTATTTTCTTTTTTAGTTTAAGCCATTTTCGTAGATCATTTTTTTTTAAATCTAGTAATGAAGATGATTTAGATACATTAATTGTTTTCATTTGAATTTTAGAAAAGTAATAATATTAATTTAATTATTAAAATTAAATCATTTATTTAAGATTATTTATGTGTATTGTTTAAGTTAAAAGATTTAATCACACAGTACTTTATGAATTAATTAGGTATTCTAAATAATGAAAATTTCATTCATAATGAATTAATTTCAACTATTCCTCTAGAGAGCTTGGCTTAGTCAGAACAAAACCAC